ATATAGGCTATATATATATATATATATATATATATATATAGGCTATATATAAAATACAGCTACATAAAATACAGAGTCCCCACTTTTTCAGAAATGGAGGGTCACAGACTGTGAAAAGTACTTTTAATCATTAATTTTATATTATTTTAATCACTTCATATAAATAATACTAGGGATGATTTTATGGGTAGTGCTAGACAGCACATGTATGTATATATTAATACACACATACATGTATATATTTAAGAAATATATGTAATATTTATTTATATTTATATATAATATATGTAAACACAAACTGTTATTTTGAATAAGAGTTTATCGATTAATTGCAGAGAGGCAATTAATGCAGAGAGACATCAGCAAAATTGTGGGCATTAAATAGGGCTCTAAAATTTTATTAATTGCGATTAATAATTGCGTTTATCGATTAATTGCGATTAATCAATTTTAGAGCCCTATTTAATTTCCACAATTTTGCTTATGTCTCTCTCTCTCCACACACACACACACACACACACACTCACACTCTCACATATGTGTATTGTTATTTATGTATACATATATTGTTGTTAGTATTGACATCTGCCACTGAAAAACACAGTCAACCAATAAATATGAGACTGTTATTATTTAGCCACTCCTTATTACTAAAAGCATTTAACTACTATTGTTTTGCATTTTGTTTAATTTGTGCCTCATTAACTGATGAGTGAAACTCAAGATGAATTGTCCGCCTCATGCTGAAGAATTTAATGAAACTGGTTCTGCCTCCATCTGAAACATGATCATCCTTTAACAGCCCTTAGGAGTCTTCTCAGCACTGCTCGTACCTGATGAGAAGAATGAAGGCTGTGTGCGAGCTGGAGCCAAGGTGATGTCTAGAGTAACTGAGCTGTGTGCGCTATTGATCCATTGCCATTTATATTTGTGCAGAGTGGAGTGAACTCATGGCAAGAGACCAGAGCTCTCATCAGTCACCTCTAGAAATAGCGGCAATAAGAATGCATCAGAGCCGGTCATTCCAGTGCGTCAAAGGAGCAAGTTATAGTATATTGTCCCTGCCATTGATGTGCCTTTGTTCTCTTGGCAGGTGTGTGCTTGATATTGACAAAAGAAGGACAGAGTGGAAAAAAAAAAACGGATAGTGTAGCCTTTTTT